TATAATTTATACATAAATAAAAAATAAAATGCTGAAAACAGTTTATTATAAATTGAATAACTTTTTCGAACAAATGTTTGTATATGAAAAAGATGTTTTTATAAAATTTTAATAGTATATGAAGTTTATTACGTAAAATAATGCGATAATGCGCACATCCTAGATTAATTCAAAGCATACAAATTATTACTGATTTCTTTAATTTACATGGTTGTTTATAAAAATTAAGTAAATCCAGAATTGTTTGTTTAAAAAAATTAATGAGAAATAATAGGGGAAAATTGAATTTATTTAAAAAATAGTGTTTTTAAGAAATTCAGATTAATTATAAAAAGGTTAGAAACCACATTTCTGGTATGTCGCATAATTAATAAACAATTTGCTCCTACTTTCCTGTTCATTTTATACCTTATCAAAATTGATAAATAAAATATAATGTCACGAAGTATAATATGCTGGGACACAGAATTACGAAAATTAAGACCTGCAGAATTATATAAACTCGGGCAAATTTTGAATATATCAGATTCATGGAAAAAATTAATGGCAATAGTACCAAAAGAAGATGCTTGTAATCTTCCTAAATTTACTACTGAGCATTTTAGGTAAAATTACAAATATTAATATAATATTTACACTTCAATGTATTTTTAATAATGTAATTAAATTTGCATGTTTATTGTCTAAATTTTTATAGTATGATTGAGCAAGCTGCACAGCAACAAAGAAGAAGTGCAGCCGAAATATTTTTATCAGAATGGGGGACAATGGGTAAAAACAGACCAACATTGCGTACTTTATTAAACCTTTTAGTAAAAGCAGAATTATTTAGAGCAGCTGATTACGTGGCAGGGGATATATTAAATGGTATAACAAAGTATTGCTGTAAAATACATGAATGTAACTTAAATGTATGCTATTTTTTTATACAGACGAACTTCCAAAACGACCGGAATGTGGACCAGCAGCACCTGTAGATATTTCAGATGAAGTTATAAACAAGCTATTAGAAGAAAAAGAGGGACTTCAAAATTTTGGTTTTAATGAATCTTTGATATTTGGATTACCTTCTGAAGATAATGAAACAGTTAATCCTAATGCAATGAATAATTCTTTAGAAAGAAATATGCAATCAACAAAATTGGTTTCTGCAAACGGGAAACACGATGAAAACCATTCAGAAAACATTAAAGAAACAACAAATTCGCAAATATCTGATTTAATGAAATTTAGTACCAAACAAAATATAGAAGGATTTAGAGGACAAGAACATGTTTATGAACAACAAGAAATGTCGTCTCGAGAGTTACCCGTATTTCTAAATGAATTTGGACGAATTGGGGAACAAACGAAATTGAATCAAGAAGTATTGTCTGAGGAACTTCCAGTTTTTTTAAATAACAATTCAACTGCATCGAATAATATTTTATGCAATGTCGAAATAAATAATTCATTTCACTTGTCCAATTTGAATATTAATGAAAATGAGATGACTTCTATAGAATTGCCTCAATGCATCGTTGAACTTCGTGTAAATAATGCATCAAATTCGGTTGGTACTCACAGTACTGAAAATAATAAGAATACAGCACAGAATGTGCTGAATTCGCAAGAATTACCAATTACAGTTTTAGAATATAACGCATAGTATATTTATCAATGGTATTTAATAATTATATATTCCATATTTTCTTACTTTACGAACAGCCTTTGAAAATATCGGTCATTGTTCATGGATACATACTTTAACAGGGGAACAGTTTTTATATATTACACATTTGTTAAAACAGGTTTAAACTTTGGTTTGAATAAATTAATTTTTAATACAAAGGCGCATGCATATTCTTATATTATGGATACACATACAACTTCGCTTATAATCTAACGAGAACAATGTTGTTGAAAAAAATGTATAATATTTATGCAACAAAGCTAAATTAATAATAAAATTTTTTATAAATAATATCTAAATTTTATATAAATATCATATTAAAAATCATATATTTCTTAATATCATTATATACAATAATAATTTAATGATAGTATGTATTATGAATTATCACGGCGATATTTGTAATCAATGTTTACGAATGTGTAAAGGAACTTTTGAAATATATCACATTGTGCAATAATATATGAAATGGATGCAGTGATACGTGAAACTTTCAATACAATAGAAAGATTTATTAAGTGTTGTTAAAGTTGATAAGAAATACAAGATTACCTAGTACAAAATGCAGATATGTGTATGATCTATTCATCGCTATTGTTACTTTGTTTCATGGTAAAGTAGGCGCTTTGAAGTTCTTTAAGGTTGCTTTCTAAGGTTGCAACTTCATCATACCTGCAATCAGCTCGAGCTTGCTTAATGTAAGCTCGAAGATTGCTCATTTGTTCAATAATGGGATCCATAGAAGAAGGCATCATAGGAGTAACAGTAGAAGGACCCCAACCATGTGACTGATTTAATACCACAGTTGGCTATTCAAACACAATAGTGATGGCATTGAATTAAAAATGAAGAATTGCAATTTTAATTTTGTTCAATAGAATTAGTACTACCTGATTTTCTTTTGTAGAAGGTGACACTTCAAGATTCCATATTTCCTTTTTACGTTGTTCTTTTGATCTTTCTCTTTGTTCTTCTTCCAGTTGTCTTTCGTACGCAATTCTAGCTTCTAGTCGTTTTTGTCGTTCGTTTTGTAACTCCTCATATCGCTCAGTCGAAGGTAAAGATTGTATGCTCAATAATTCATCTTTCAGAAAATTCACCGCAGATAACCTGACCATGTGATGTAATCGAAGTTCTTGCTCTTGCGGTGGATTTTCTACGCATCTCGTTCCAAGTACTGAAATTCTTTGGCTAATTAAATCTATATTCTCGCCTAATTTTCCGATCTTAATTTTTAAAGCTTGAGCATCTTCTAAATTATACGTAGATTCTCCTTCACTGAAAAATACACCTTTTAATTTTGTATGAAAAGTTTTGTATTAAGCATAATACAAAATTTATGCTAACATTATACCACTATGCAAATTAGTCTTATATGTATTAGATGACATACTTTAAGGATTCCCACATTTTGTTATACATTTTCACGTGTTGCGAGGCTTCTGCCATGTATGTTTTCATCTTTTCGTAAAATTGACATACAATTGGTTTATCAAAATGCTTTGCTTTTTGTTTTTCTCTGGCATCAAGCAGATTTGCACAATGTGTACAAATTCTGAAATGCTGTTCACTACCTGCCGAATCATTAACCAAGGATAGTACGCTATTTAAACTACCACTAGATGGTGATCTCGCCAATTTTGTAAGACCAATACCCGCACGTACTATACGTTCTGCAATTGGTCGTTCGGAAGTAGGAGATACTGCTGAATCATCTTGTACAGATACAGGATTTGTCATTTTTCCTACGAATTAAAGTAATTAAGTTTATATACAATTTTTTTTCTTTTTAATAATTTCAAAGTTACCCACTTGCATCTTGTAAAGAGAGAAATATTGTACAATTGTTACACATCACAGCTCCACAAAGTCTACAGTGATGTTTTCTCCTTGCAACGTGAAAGCTTTTTGCACAAGAAGGACACAGCTTCACATCTTTTTCATCTATCCATGGTACAATTGTACGCTCATGAACTATTGTAGTAAAAGGAGATATGTTAATTCATTTTATTTATCAAACAATGGGAGAGATTATAATCCTACCTTTTCTATCAACTGGATCAGTTGGTAAATTATTTAATAATTTATCTAATCTTATAAGGAGTTTATTTGTTTCTGTAGAATATCGCTCTAGTCTCATATTTCTTATTTCTTTAAAGTACTTTGTATGTGACTTTGTTGCACCTAAAAATTATTTAGCAAATAACACATTTTATAAAATTTCCATTCACATCAATGCAACTACAATTAATTCCAGATTTAATATGAGTTAATACCTATTTCTTGAGGTCCCCAATTAAGTTCTGGACTACAATGTCTAGTAGTTGATGGTATACTAACTGCAAATGATTCTGATATTTCATCTTGCTTTAAAATCTTTTTCTTAGCTTTGCCAAAAAGATCTAAAAAAGTAGAACACTTTAATCGACTGTGTTGTATAAATTAACATATTTATTTTTGACATGCATATATGAACTTCATCTTTAAACTTTAATTTTGATAAATTATTGAAGGGTTTAGATAACTGTGAAAGAAAAACTTCCTACCTTTAAGCGATTTTAAAATTTCTGTATCATCGTTATGGAAGTCTTCAAAATGTTTAGTTAACTGATGAGGTGTTTTCAAATCTGTCATGCATATTGGACAAATAAATCCTTCTAATACTTCCTCGCTACCGGCCATTGTAAAATATAATAACTAAAAAACTTTCACTACCTTCTTTTGTAATTATTTTCTATTTCATACACGATGTAAATCATTTGTAGGCGTCTCTTTGATTGCAGAAAGACAACGTGTTTTTTGAGCGGCCATATTGAATTATATCAGCTGATAGAAATGTCAAACCTTTTCGCATATTATCGCGATTTAATAAATGTTATGTTTTTCCAATTAACTATACAGTTTCTTTCTTCAATTTAAGTTAATGTATTTTGAAAAACTTTAAACAATTAATATTTTGGGTTGAAATTTTTCTCATCGTAATTTCGCATGATTATTTAGAATGAATTCGCTAAAATCACTTTCTCCTTATTTTCAAAAAATGTAAAGCCATTTGAGATTGTAAGAATTATTTATTCGATAAATGTACAAGTTTATAGACATTATAGATACATAAGAAATTATAAATTTAATGTACAAATATTTTACGAATAATTCAATGATAGTTGAATAGTTAAAAATGACAGTCTTAATTGTAATTATATTTCTATTAAAATCTCATTATAAAATAAAATGATTTTTATATTTGATCATGTGCAAAAATGCAAATTTTTATTGGGTTACTGTCATTTCAAATAGCTTATCTCCTAAAACCCTAAATTCCGTTGAGGATTCACAATGTTGTAAAATATTGGAATTAATTTTTTCTTCCCCGTAATATGCTCCAGCGATTGCGCCCGTCATACTGCCAATAGTGTCTGTATCACCACCTAAACTAATCTGAAAAGTAGAACATGTTTTCTCCATTTCAATAACATTTAATTGTAATTCATTTTATTTTTAAAAATGTGGTAAAATATTATACATACAGCATATTGAATTGCTCTTCTAAACGGGTTTTCCGTTTGTATTCCCGAAATTGGTTTTTGTGCTCTTAAAAAGCAAAATATTGCGGTGGGTACTGAATATAAAGCCGCGACACTGTTTCCTAATTTTTTTATTACTTTTTCAACTTGCGGACTATCGCCATCTTCCGATATTAATGCTTTTACTACACCCAATTGTATCTTGTATGGCTGTGGTTCTGCCAAACCTAAACTGTGAGAAATAAGAATTTTAAGCAAGCAGTAATTTCAAGAATCAAATTTAATGAACAGTTCAAGTCACACATTTATTTTATATTATAAAAGCCTACCCCTCTTCATCTTTTTCTATTTTATCCATTTTATGAATTAAATCATCAATAAAGTTCATCACATTTAATTCTTCATTGGGATCTAAATGCAGACTCTGATAAATTGCTGCTGCCTGTAAAATGATAATAGTGTAAATTAAAAAAAGTATATTGAATGTGAAATGTGGAATATTTTAAATATAAGTACTTGTAAAATAGCACCATCTATTCCAACTTTATGTGTATGAGTAATTTGAGTCACTTTTCTCACTGTATCTAAAAGGTTATCATAGTTTTCATAACAGAACAATGCAATAGGTGTAATTCTCATTGCACCACCATTTCCCCATGAACCTTGATTATTGAATTGTTCTGTAGCTGGTTCTATAATATCTGCAAATTTGTTACCCCGTAACTTTTGAAATACCTTCAAAAGAATTTGGATTTTAGAATAGATTTTCATATGCTGTGTTAACATTACATAGCATATCATACTTTTGACATCTTACCGTCACAACACCAGTTCCATAGCCACGATTAGGTTCCAGGAAGTAACTTTTAACAAATCTTTTTGCAACATCAACAATCTCCAATTCTTTTTGTTCAACCAGAGATTTAGCCAAAGAATAAGTCATAGCAGAATCATCTGTATACTGCATGACAGGTACTATAGAATTGAAAGAACATCCAATATCAAACTGAGCAGACAAAAACACAATTACATTTGTGTTTAATATAATTTATAAATCATGTATTTCTAAGATGTACCTTTAGACACCGGTCCCTCCAATGTATCGAACGATTTTTGTAAAACAAATTTCATACCGTCTGATAAAGAATTGTAACCGTTATCATAAAGGTTACCAAAACAATCGCCAATTAAAGCACCAAGCATAGAACCGCGAAATTTACTTCGTAATAATGATAAATCCATTTTTGCCATAACCTTCTTTTACAGCAAATTCTTGGACTAGATTCAAAGGTTCACGAACACTTACGAAGGTTTAATGTTGTACTTAAATTGACTACAAAACAAGCACTTGCTTGAGATACTTGTATTATATTAACAAGGAATGATAGTAACGAGGTAGACAAATACTATAAAGATAATGTAAATATCAATTACTTTATCAGCATTTAATTATACATATAAGTAACAAGTTATTTACTAACACAGTAAGATGTCTCTGCTTGTAAGATCGTAATAGAAATTCAAAATAAAAGTTTGAACAATACAAATAATTTGACAGTGCACGTTAATGAATTAAAATATAGATGACGAGTGCTATAATAATTTTACTGAATTATAATGAAACTATTTTTTAAGTGAATATTTCATATGTTTTTATTAATAGTTTGTATTTTGTATCATATTAGAGTGCAAAAAAACGATCAAAATTTTTGGTCATCGTATAGTAGACTACTCACAATACTCAAATTTAATATTCTAAAATTTTAATTATAAATCTCCAGAATGACATTAAGTCAGTTGAAATGAGGTAAATGACGTTAAATAAATTACAAAGTTAGTTTGTAATTTTGTAAATCAATTTTTATACATTGTTTTAATGAATGCAAAAGACGAAAAAAATTAAGAAAATAATTAAACTGCTTTTAGTAACTATTTTTATAAAATTATACAGTTTATAATGTATTTTGTAAAGCTGTACCGCAATTTTAAATGAGCCAATGACATTGCACTTTGCATTTAACATTTTGAAATTGGTAGTACCGTATAAAAAGATTTATCGATATATCGAATTTTTGTAAATGACCGTTACTTTCGTGTTCTACGTATTTACGGTGCAAAAAGGGTCAAGGAAAGAAAAAATGTGAGTTGAATGAGCTCATTATCGGTTATACGTTGCAAACTTGTCGCGTGCTTCGAATTTCGGTCAAGTTTCTATGTTGATAGTATTAGGTGTTGGAAAGAAATCACTTTCTGATATATGTTTAATTTATTAATCGAACAGTTGTATATACGTACATGCCCTACTTACATTGAAGTAAAACATTATTCGAAATCGCTCGTAAAAAAAAGCAATGTAACTTCGAATACATTTATTTAATTACTTGTGATATTTTAAACGAGGGCATAACAGTTTATCACGATGATGTTCTTTGCTAATATTGTAAATATCAAAATTTGCGTTCTATCGTAGAAAACTTTTTAACTATACAAAATGATACTAGAGATTAAATGCATTTTTCTTTAAACAGAATTATATATCTTTCATGCGATAAATCGACTTTCTGGTTGTTTTACGAGCAAGTATATGAACAGTTTACGAGGTATCTCGTATATTTTATGTTAGAAATCTACTTTACCATAGTGAGCATTCCATTGCTTCAATCGAAATGCTCTCTACGAACTTACTTTCCTGACTATTTACATAAGTTTTTGCGGGTAATAGTGGTCCTAACCAAACCATATCATACTACGTATTAAGAAATTAATTTCTTTTTGTGTAATAATTATTAGATAAAATACGAATTTAAAAAAGAATATTTCATTCTACATATTTTTCAAGGTATAAGCAGTTTGATTACCCCGCTACTATCAGGATCAATTGGAAGCCCCCTCCCTACCATACCAATCACACCACTTCATTTTCTTATTGCCATTAGTTCTTCTTCATTACTTCATAAATTCTATATACCTTACACATGCTTAATTTCTCATTAAAACATTTTCTACTTTTTAGATTCACAAAATCTCATCCAAAGCACGTGAAATAAAAGAGGAAGTCATTAGCACAACGAGATAACCAAATACCCACAAGATGGAGGGGAAAGCGGCCTTGAACGTTCCAAATGTTTTCTCCGACTGTATAATTCCAAAAGGTACACACAGAGCCCTTCTTTTGACTCTCCAACGATACCAAATTGCCCTGCCCCCTCCCCACTTCTTACCTACCAAGCATTTTTACAACAGCACAATGTATATTCCCTCCAGCGAGGAAAAACAAAGGAAGGAGAGGCGAGCAGTCGGAGAGGAGATTCAGAAAGCTCGTCCGCTAAAGGGTGGTTTTCGTCAAAAGGATCGTAGGGGTGAGAGAAGGAAGGCGACGATTGGGCGGGGCAGAGGATGCGTGGTCCGCTCAACCCGGCCACATCCAGTCCGCCGCCGACTGCGTAGTTGCGCAGTGTTTCTGCCTAAGTGCGCCGAGTATACCACCAGAAGAGAATATACACGGTATGCCGGTGCACGGGCCAGCTTGACTCTCTCCGGTCCTCCCTGGAACGTCGCGTCTCTCCCCCGACCAGGGTCGTTCACCTTGTGCTTCAGCGTGCTCGCGTTGTCCTCCAGAGGCTCCGCTGTTTTCCTGCCGTCGCTGCTTTCGACTACCACGCTGTTATCCCGATCGAATTTCCAACGGACGAGCTGTCCACTGCTCGGAAAAAAAGTAAGCTGCACCACTTTTCTGTTATCTTTCCGTCAAGGCTGTTCAACCGTTTGGGGAAATTGAACTCTGAACTTTGTTATCGCGTAGAATAGGGAAGATGCATGACGTGCATTTCTGATGCTGTTGCTTCATTATTAGGAGGTTTTCCTGTTTCGTATTTCGATGGGCATTGAATGGTAGGAGAGCAGGAGATTATTTTAGGTTGAACGGAGCTTAATTGATTGGCCATAACTGAGCGTTAAATAAACCAGAAGTAATATTTTAGTTCTGATAATGAGTTTTAAGTGTTTAAAAGGGAGGTCTTTATAAAATACTTATGAAATCTTTTGCGTTATATTTATTAATTTGTTATCAATGTATTTTTCATTCCTGGTACTCCGCCAATGAATAGCATACACAGTATCTTTTTTATTCTTTACACAGAGTGACTTATCATCAGTTGTTTTACTATTTAAAAATTGAATAAACTTTTTTCAAAATCTGAAACAAAAATGATAAAACATATAATAGAAAAAAAGTTATGCCACTTTTATATGGTAAACGGACTTGCGAGCCACCCTGTATTATAGTCAATGCTTACTATTTTACATGAGATTTAAATTTTTACCAGAACGCCTGCTTCCCTTTTACCTAAATCATTTTATTCGAAATCCAATTACTTTTCAGCAATAAGAAATAGGTTTTATATTTCAGGGTGCATTTTATCTATTTGTAAAATTAATGGACAAGTTCAGGTGCGAGCGTTACGTAATGTTATTTTATCTTGCGCCCCGGTGTAGCAAATTGCTCTCCGCCTGTATTGTCCCTGGCAAAAGGCGATATTCTATAGTCATTCGTGCTGTTTCTGTAGCCTCGCAAGATTTATGACTGTAGACCGAATGTATCGTACGACTTGTAAGAAGCAAATAATCCTTGAGGCAATGTTTGAAAAACTACATGCCTGTATATTTCGCTCTGGTTCAAAACAAACGACGTCTCACGACCATGGACAAGCCTGAGTAACCTTCAAAACATAATAGTAGTAATATTTTCAGTGAATGCTCGCGTAGCTCGCTGAAATATTTAAACCAGTTCAAATATAGATCTCATTCGTGCAGCTTGTCCTTTCATTAATTTTTATCAGTTCGAAAGGGTAGTTAATTTTTCAAGAATGCTTTTAAATGATTGCTCAAATTATCAACAATTACTTGCAACTATCAGATCAATGTAATTGGCCAATAGAAAGGGATAATTAATTTTTTAATTATAATAGTAGATAGAACATTTTAATTTTCTTTATACTATAGTAAAAAAAGACTTTTCAAAGGTAACGCAAATTGCTAAGAATTACAAATTTTAATCACATTTGTTAATTTTCTTCGAACAGTGGTAAAAGTTAATGTACAACCTTTCATTCATAATGCTGAATAGTAATATAAATTACTAGTAATTACTTTCATCGTATTCTTTAATTTCATCTGTACAAAGATTAAGAAGACATTCTATTTTACAATTATGATAGCAAAATGGCAATGTAAAATATAGTATATATTATTTATGCTATTATAAACTGTGAAATAGTTCAAATTATTTGTTACTCTTTTACATTTTGTTCTGCGGTCGTTACGATTTGTCGACACAGTTAACGTAATTGATATTTCTCGTGCAATCGTTGCTATTATGTCTGTTTTACCCAACAACGGAACGAATAGCGTAGCTGGTAATGGTAACGAAGATGTAACGCGGGTTTATTGTCGAAACGACCCGCGAGCATCGCCATAGAAAAGCAATTCACCGAAAGATTTAATGCGGTGTGTAGCTAATTTCTTGCACACATGGTATTCGGTTTACTTCACCGTCTATTTTTGATGGCACTAGAGTGATCTGAAAATTTTCTCTCTGACAATGAATATATACCCTCCATGATTCAATAAGACCTTTAATAATTTTATTTACACAGCATTCGATAGTTCAGAGCAGTTATTAAATCAAACAATTCGCGTGGAAATTTAGAATAATTAAAAATGTTTTAAAAAATTCATAAAGAATAATTCTTGCTTTCATATGTTGTGTTTTATAGTTGTTTGTATTTTCATTGAATGTAGACTGATGATATTATACTATGTAGTTAGTGAAATCTCACCACTGTAAAGAGAGTGCAAACTCGTTTTTTTGATTTAATTAATTCGTTTTTACAGCGTTGGGCCTCGCACGAGTGGATATACGTATAAAAGTGGATAACGAGGACCGCAATTAGCGATTCGCGTTACTTACAGAAACTTCATAGAAGAAAGTATAAATCGGAAGGAAACTCAGATCTCTCCTTATCTAACTATTATCGACATGAAAATACCTTCTTATGCAACAGAATTTTTCGTTTGCAACGATAATTCTACGAGTATTCCCACAGTCTTCTGTTATTCTTACTTAATTAGAAAAAATAGCTTTCTTTCTATCTATTCATCATACTTCATGCGCAAAGCACCATTTTTGAAAGATTTTATATTTCTACCATTAATTCTAACATTCAGGTTATTTATAATGCTTCGACTAATTTTAAGTCCT